CTTAGTTTGGTTCTGTGCATTAACAGCTAACTTCGTCCCCACAGAAACCTCAGGAACGGCCGACACTTCAGATAACTCAAGTATTGAGGAATTGTATGGTAGAGGTACGCACCTGGGAAAAAACGCGTCCGCTTGGAAATACTCGGCTGTGATGGGCAACAAATAAAGTCACTGCCCACTAAAATGGTGTTCGCACACATGCGAAGAGTCTCCTAATGGAACACCGCAGCTACTTGCCCACCGTTGTCGCTTCACTTGACAATTAGGAGGTTTAAAATAACGCACAAGTCGGTTTTCCTGGCTCTTGCCACACAGAGCGCACCGCTCGTAATTCATTTTCATTTTATTTTTGTATGTATGTATTTGAAATCAGTCGCACAGCTCAAAATTGAAATTTGAAATTAAAAAATTAAAATTTTGAATTGTATAGGGTTAGAGGTTGACATTACAGTTGCAGTTCAAAAGAGAGAAATGTCGAAATCACTTCTACCTTGTTATGTCTTGGTTTGAATGCTTTTCATTCGCATACTCCCATTTGAAGATAGAAAATTTAAAACAAAATGTATATTCATAAATTACAAAATTGAAAGCTGGCTAGAAGTTTTAATCAACTCATGTATAGGTCTATTACATATGAATATGTAAATTGTACACAGTGCGTTAAGAAATGAAAGCCACTGCTGCTTTGTAGCTGAAATGTTTTGAAACTTTATGGGAGCAATGTTTTCACACAGTGTGACCACGTTACCCTAGGCGAGATTGAGCATTTAATTTAAAATATTTATAGAAATATTCGGCCCGGAACTACCCATATTAAAAATACTTCATATTTCAAAAACTTCTGTTTACTGTTCAAATATTACAATAACAGAGCAAAGTACCATTTGCTTGAGAACATATGTATTTCTTTAGCTTAAAAAAAAGGTACTGCGAAATTTGCCTCAAACTGCATTTTTGAAACAATAGATTTGCTGGCGTATTACTAGTGCACTCTGATGTAAAAAACAATCATATTTCGTTCGAAATTTTTCTGAACTCCATTTTGCTTAAATTGCAGTGAGGTAGCCGTTATTAACCTGAAAGATGATATTATGTATTTTGAAGGGAATGCTTCAAAAATTGATTGAAATCAAATCCGTTTCGCGGAAGTTATCGAGTTGGCGAAGACTTTTAAACTTCATTTTTCACAGGATATTACTTTTTCTAACCTTTTTTCAAAACCAATTTAGCCCCGCTTTTTATGATAAACTGCCCACACTGCTCTTTACAAACCTCGCATCTCATTATGGGATTTTTAGCTAAATATAATTTTATGGTTCTATTGCTTTTTTTATTTGCTTTTAATTCCAACATGACGGATGGGACATTTAAACTTGCTTTTCCACAAACTTTAACTCATTTCTTCTTAACCCTTAACTTTGCGAATTTCAAACTGTTAACATCTGAATTCAAGTAACAGTTTAACACGAAACTAATAAAGTAGAAAACTTAGTTATATGATTTACATAGAAAATTTTCATTTTTCCCCAAGAGTGACGGCTGAGACAACGACGACACATGCCTCTCTGAGTGGATGGATTCGTTTGCCATTTTAGACAAACTTTGTATCAAAATATTTCTCGCATAGCGGCGTTCTCTAATATAGTTAGTCAGCCCTAACCGCTTACAACTGTGAGCTCAGAAGGTCTAAAAGGGCTACGTGGCGTGAGCACTGCGGAAGTATTTCCTCTCTTCCAGAGGTGCATCGCCTTCAGAAGGCCCTTAAACTAGATCTTCTGAAAGTCCTATGTACTTTGAAAAGACCAGATGGTACCTACACTGGCATCACGGAAGAGACCAGCAGGCTTCTGTTGGAAACCCACTTCACGGGATGTATTCCCCAAGGCACATGTCTTTCAACAAACACGGCGAACGCTGTGTGCGCAAACAGGAGGACAGGAGGCCTAGGAGGAAGAATCGTCACTGTTGAAAAGATATCGTGGGCCATTTCAACCTTTAGTGCATATAAATCCCCTGGTCCAGATGGTATCTCCCCATGCCTGCTGCAGCAGAGCTTGGGCTTAATATCTGGGCCACTAGTCAGATTGCTGAGAGCAAGTCTCTTACTTGCTCACATACCAACAACATGGAGTGAAGTCAAAGTGGACTTTATACCCAAAGTGGGGAAAAACTCAGCACAACTCCCAAAGGCGTATAGGCCAATTAGCCTCACTTCCTTTCTAGTAAAGACGTTAGATAAACTTATTGACTTTCACATAAGGGATAACTTTCTCAGGAATAAGCCTCTGTGTCAGAGTCAGCAGGCATACCAGGCAGGCAAATCTACTATTACTGCAATACATAGCCTAACTCAAGTCATTGAAAAGGCATTGCGGTATAAACAGATAGCTTTGTGTGCATTCCTGGACATATCAGGTGCTTTCGATAATATGTCCTATGAAGCAATATCGACAGCTATGATACGAAAGGCCTTCTAAGGGATTGGATCATAAGCATGTTGAGATCCAGAACTATAATAGCGGAACTAGGAGACAACTGCCACCCGTGGCTGTCCTCAAGGGGGAGTCTTATCGCCCCTATTTTGGACACTGGTTGTTGACGAACTTCTTGAAAAGCTAAATGGCAATGGATTCAAGGCATTTGGATATGCAGATGACCTAGTCATCTACGTTTTCGGCTGGAATTAGGACCCAATTTGTTCCAGATTGCAAGCTCCCCGTAGGAGATAGTCAGGGCTATCACGGAATCCATCGTAGAAAATCTACGAAATCGAATGCCTGCTACGAATACGAAAAAATTGGTACACTCAGAAAAAAGCTTTTCCTTAAAACAAGAAAAGAGTATCCTTGTTTTAGAGTTACTGTTTTTTCCTTAATATTATGAAAAATTTACTCAATTTGAGAAGTTTTTCCTTCAGTTCGTCATTAATTTGAGGAAGTGAATTTACTCAATATAAGTAATAAAATTCTCAAATGCCATAAAAAATAAATTAGATAAATTTGTTTTTAAATACAATATAAAAAATTACAAATAAAAATAAATGAAAATAATTTTTTTTTTTAATTCCCGCTCTGGGACTCGAACCTTGCATCTCTCGACTATCACTCCAGAGCTTTGCTCTGTCGCCCGTTGTTTGAGCGCCATGAGCAAAATGACATCCTTACTCCTTTCACAGAGGATGAAATGGCAAGTAAATTTTTCCTTAAAACTAAGGAATTGTGTTTTCCTTAAACTGAATCAAATCGTTTGCTCATATTAAGGCAACCACGTCATTGGCGCCATTTCAAGGTAATATTTCCTTAGAATAATATACTTTTTTCCTAGCATCAAGGAATGTTTTTTCTGAGTGCATCATTTTGATTTTTACACATTCAGGTTTCTGGAAAAAGGGGGACGATATGATCACACTTCAAGAAGACGCCATAAATAGCATTATCATTGTAGTTTATCAGGTTAAGACAAAAACAACGCAGATGATAAGATAAGGCTTTAAACAAATCAAGTGGAAGTCAGGCAACGTCGGAGTCGAAAGGATATATACTCTGCTCAGACAGTCAAGTATCCAATCTCTCTAATAGGAGAATAAATTACAAACTTGCTTTTGATTGGTTCAAAAAATTTCAACTTTTAGCAGCAGGAAACATAGGGATAGGAAATAACTAAGGGACCGACGAGCTGACCAAAGAAAGGTACTCAACTATCTTTGTGGTGCTGGAAGCATTTCTTGTTCCCATGCTTTATTTTCTTCGCGACTAATTTCTGACTGAGTAAACACCAAATGCTGTAAGTGCTGAGAAGCGCTACGGGCTGTAGAGAGGTCAGACACTTCGATCATCCTTTAGCTAGGAGGAAATATTGCAGATATCAAGTTGTACTCTGGATATTTAAAAGTTATATTTGACTGGGTCTTTGTATTCGATCTGTTTACACAAACCGACTGCCAGGTCTGGGTTGAGAACGACGAGATGTCAGAGCACATTCTGGATACACTCCAAATCATCTAAGTATATTCGAGCGCCTTACAACAAGGAATTCGTGTAGCAAGGTCCGCTTAGGTAGTATTTATTAGGGAAGCAGTGAGTACCTTGACTATTCAGCGTTAGGAATTCTTCTACGGGGTGCAAAAGAACTTCCAGGTCGCAGTATCCCTTATACTAGATTACTTAACTAACTTAACTTATTTGGTTCCGCGGAGATTCGTTATAACGAAGTTTGACTGCTCATGTGCATCGACGCATAGGGATGCATACTAAGGAAAATCTGTCAGTTCAAAGAATTTAAATTTATATTATATATTTATGTACATGTTTATGCCAATTCATAGGCATAGATAAACCAGTATACATATAAGTGTACATACCTATGTACATATATATATACGCATACTTACTCTTATATACTTGGATATATTTGCAATATGGAAATGGGAGTGACTTGGGTGTGGATGTTTACGAACTTTTAAATGTACTTATACTCGTACATAGAAACATTGCATATTTACATATATATCTACATTGTGGCGTGTAGTTATTTAGTACATGACACATCAAACAAATATTTGCGCTGTTAGTTTTAATTAATTAAACCACTCAACAAAGGGCAAGGCGCTGCAAGGCGATTGGGTTACAGATGCTAATTACGTTTACTTGCGTCGAACACTGAGCTGGCACAGACTCACAAATATTTATGTTAACATTGGAAATTCATGGAAAATTCACTTCAGACAACACGAACAACTTGTAAACTACCAAAAGTGAAAAAAGTGAAATTGAGCGCAAAACGCGAATGGCGTCGCGCATAACCACGATATACCTGCCAACATATTTACATGCAGAGCTCTACAAGTTAGTTTTACTTTTACTACAAACTTATGCACACATATTAAGGTATATAAATGAATTGGCTGTGTGCATGGGATACATTGTACATAGTACATACACACGCAAGCCGGCAAAACAACTTTTACTGCCGCAGCAGCCGACAAATCTACTTGTTACAGCTGCTAATGGTCAAAGTGTCAAGGTGTTGGCTGCTGCGGTGGCTCAGACGGCCAGTAAGCAGTGCACATACATACATACGTACACACATACACAGAAAGCGAGTGCAAATTTACCTGTGACAGATTGTTGCATTGGTTGCATGGCCGGGTGCAGATTTGCCTGCATGGCAGTGGAGTCTTGTTTCGGCTGCTCTTGCGATAGAGAAGCTGACTCCTTACTTGGCGGCGCGGCTGACGTCGTCGTACTTTTCACGTTCGAGCTGCCATTCGTAATGGTATCGGCGGGCACCGATTCCTTAGCCACGACTATCACTGCACTGGGCGCTGCTGTACCTGCGGCTGGTGCAGCATTAGCGGGGGTGGGGGTGGCGGCGCTTACGCTTTCCACATTGTCGCTGGCACCAACATTTTCCACTTTGTTGCCGATTTCGATATCTTTATGGTTTTCGGATGGCATGATTTCTATAATTTCCACTTAATTCGATTTATTAACTTTTCTGTTTTTTGTACTTTATTTTTTATTTTTTAATTTTCTTTCGTTTTTACTTTGTGTTTTGTGCAACGCTTATGCTTTGTGTGTCGCACGCAATTCTGCACTGCACACTAAATGCCAATAATACAGTAATGCCTCTACAACAAAAAACACGAATTAAAACAATAACATTTAACTAGGCATGTACATATATATATATATATAGCAATTAACGCGCCTTCTGTTTTGCTTAGTTTTGCCTGTTTACGCTGTTCACCGAAATCAACACTCGCAATGCAGGTAATCGATTTAAAAATTAACTGTGAAAATTACTACATTTGAGCTGTTCAAAGTGTTGCAAAGAAAATACGAAAAACTATGACAGCGTAGACTGCCACGCGAACCAACACCACGTTTTGATGGTTTTTCAGCGACTGAATCGCTGTTTAGACCTGAAGCTCGCAAAAGCCAAAAGCGGTAGCCGTCAACAGCACAAACTACTGGCCGTCTACCTGTCATTATATAGGTATGTATTAGGGATGTTAATTTTTCGGCTTTTTCCAAACCCGGGATTTTGCGGGATGGCGTTAGTCCCGGGATTTAAATATCCATTACTTTTCAACAACTTGAATCGAAAAAATTGCTTCTGTATTGTTTGAGAAGCTCTCCTACCATGAAATAAATAATAATAAATGGGATTGAAACCTACTTTTTTATTTAAAGTGGCGTTTTTATTTTTTCCCTCTTACCGCAGGATTTATTTTGAAGGACTTTGTAATTTCAAAGATATGATTAATTCCAAAAACTGTTAAAAAAATTCGCAATGGAAATTTCTTTAGAACTTAAAAAATTTAAATTTTTGGATTCACAAGGACGAATAGGTAATTTTTAAGCTGTCAAAGTTAGAAGAACGAAACTCGAGGATGTTATCGAGTTTATATAAGCCCTTAACATATTATTTTTTCAACAACTTTTATTGAGCTCGAGGCCGTTTTTTAATGAAAATTTATTGTGGAAAAACAACAATAATTTGAAAAAATGGTAGAAGTGATAGCTATTTCGGAAACCACCACATTCCTTTCTTTCAGTAGGCTTCGTACCGACGGTCCCACTGACTCAGCCAGTTGCCTATGCACCGTGCTTTTTTCCGCTATTTTCATTTTTGTTATGCCAACAAAATCAAGCGCAGCTATTCCGCTGCAATTCACATGATCATGTGGTCGTTGGTAGTGTTGGTTTTTGCTAATAATTCTATTTTTAGAATGTTTAACTTTTAGGTGTGCTCGTCCTTAAGTTATTTGTTTTTGTTTTGGCCTTAAAACAATTATATTCAACCATTTTTATTGAACTCGAGGCCGTTTTTTAATGAAAATTTATTGTGGAAAAGCAACAATAATTTGAAAAAATGGTAGAAGTGATATCTATAGCAAATTGTTATAAAGCCAAAAAATAACAAAAACAAATGTTATTTCTTCAAAAACAAATAGTGCAAAATTTCAAGGATAAAATTTTAAAATGACATTTTCAATATTTATTTTCATTTTTAAATTACTGACGTGAGAGTGAAAAACTAAAAACGCAATTTTACTATAGTTGGCCCATGGTTTCGCGGATATATTGATATTTGTGTTTAACATTTACTATCGCGCGGTGTTATATGTAGAATGAGCTAGACATTTATAAAAAAATATTAATTATTAAATAAAAAATAAATATAGCCAATACTGGTCAAGAAAAGGAGTTTCTATTATTGCCATCAGTGCAAATTAGATATCCCGAAATTCCCTGAAAAAGGCCGGGATTAACATTCCTAATAGGTATGTATGTACCTTTGGTAAAGACAGTGTGTTGCCGCAAAAATCGAAACGCTGTTAAACTCAACGCTAAATGAAGTCGAAATGAATACAATTTTGTGCTTAGATGGCGTGTCACTCTCCAAGTTTATCCATCCACATAAAACATCGGTTATTTACTTCCAATAAAATCATTCAATTTGGTTATTTTTCTAATATTCACCACTACATTTTAACCAACTACAGGGCTGTTCGTGAGCTCGATCATTTTGAAAATATATATATATGTATATAGGTAAATCTAAAAGTTTCGTTTGATAAATAAAACCGACCTTTCCGAAATGTATATACTAGAGATGGGAACGGGACTAAATATTCAATCCCGAGCCCGCCCATCCCGACGTTTTTCAGAATTGCCCCGCGGGTCCCGTGAAAATGTATATATATGTATATATGTAAATCTAAAAGTTTCGTTTGATAAATAAAACCGACCTTTCCGAAATGTATATACTAGAGATGGGAACGGGACTAAATATTCAATCCCGAACCCGCCCATCCCGACGTTTTTCAGAATTGCCCCGCGGGTCCCGTGGATCCCGAAGTCTATAACTAAGATTAATTCACATGTCTCAAATTAATTAAATAACAAAAAAAAAAACAATGAAAGATCTGGCATATTTTTTTGCTTTGCTGTTCGTTTTCGTCTCAATGAAACATAAAAAAGTGGCAATTTCATAACCCGCATTTAAAGAAACTGATGAATTTTCGGAGGTTGTAAATTTTATCGGGAGTATCGGGAAAGGATTTTGGTCCTGTCCCGCTCGCAAAATATTTAAAGACCTTCCCGATACCGTCCATCGCGGTCATTTTGAATAATGTCGTAAGAATACCAGAACAACATAAACCAAGTCGATTGATTTAGGCTCGAAAAAAAATCTGAAAAGCAGAACACTTCTGGTGTACTCAGAAAATGTTTCAATTGCATTTTTAATACCATGAAATCGGAGTAAAAATTTCATGTGAGTTCGAATAACTCAAACATTTTTTCACCGCCTTTGTGTCCAAACTAGACCCGAAATGGTACAGAAAAATTCGGAACTGGTCTCAAATGATCCAGAAAAAATTGTGAACCGGACCCAAACTAGTTCCGAAATGTTTCCGAACTATTGGGCCTGAACTGGAAGTGGTTTAAGAAGGCCTACAATGAAAGAAAATTTGATAGAAGGTTGCCACCTGTATGAAAAATTTAATTAAATTAAATTAATAAGATCAATTAAATATTGCAATATGGGTATCAAACTAAAGAGGTTTATAGGTTTGAAAAATCTTATTCATTTAATTTGATAAAATAAAGGAAATATTACAATTCTGGCGTTTAACTATATAAAGAAGTTTAAGAAAGTTTACTGTCGCACACATTTTTTAAGGGGAATGCCACCTATCTGAAAATTTTAATTCAGTTAAATTAATAAGATAACCTAAGTATTGAATTAGTACACCTTTGAAGAAAGTGCGCGATAAGTAGATCTCCTTCTTTCAGTTCACTGCTCTCGCGTTGCCTTCTGCATTCCTATGCCCGGGAACCCAGACAAGAGAGATGGACATTGACGGAGACGCTGAGCGCAGTCCCATCTTGCATTCACTGAGTAGCTTGGAAATGTTACAGTAGATGATATAGCCAGGAGTGTTGCCGAGCTATATGAGTAAATAATCGCTCTTCTTTCTGGTAGCACTATTATTTATTACACTTCGCGTGCTGCAGATTTATTTAAACTATCTTACTGGTCCGCTTCATCTCTCAGTTTAACTTCCATGAGAAGCTCACCTGCACCATCGATACCCGTATTCTCTTCCACTCAGCTAGCTTCACCAAGTATTTCCCTTATCTTGGCTTTTCTGATGCCGAACCGAATCTTATTGTCGGCCTTTGCAAGGGCCTCCAAGGATTCTACGCAAATCGCGAGGAGAATTGGCTGGCTTATTGGTGGGCTTTCTCGGCTCTTTGACTTTGATGAGCTCCCTCTTGCCTATTGCTGGGATGTTCTTGTTCTGCAGCTTTATGCACCGTAGAAACTTAGGGATTCCGACGAGTCAAACTCTGGGTAAGGACCTTCAGAGTTTTCGAGCCTCACCTCAATCGCCACCCATTTTCGCTGCACTGCTAGCGGCGTTCTTCTACCTTCGTCGATAATGGAAGCCTGAAGGTGGTCTCTTGCAACGTCGCTAAAGGAACGGTGCTTAGTAGACGTTGAGGACTCCGCTACACCCCCTTGCTTCCGAGTGATTTCTTTTTTGAGCTTCGCTAGCTACCATGGTAGCAGTACGTTCTGTCTGGAATTTCCCATAGTCTTCCTCCATGTCCCTGAGTGTATCATAGCGTCTGCTGCATGTGTTTTTGCGGCTAGGTACTGCTAGTCATCCTGGACACCAAGCAGAAAACAACCTTTGCCAAAAGTTGCTTCTTTAGAATCGGTAGAAAATTGAATAGCGGATCCCTCTATCGACGAACAAAAATTACGCTCTACACTTCTCTCATCTGCTCATCCTTTTATAATAGTGCATTCCCACTTTATCGACCACGAAAACGCGTATAAGTGTTTTCACCACACCTAGGCATTTGACGGTCACAGGTAATATTTAAAACTGCATTCCTTGTAATAATTTTTGTTTATTTTTACATTTTTCATGCTAAATTGTTGGAGAAGATAATAAGAGCTGCAGCACTGAACCGCTTAGGAAAAATTTACTACAAGAGCGTGCAATTGTTGGCTTATGCCGATGACATCGATATCATCGGTATCAAAAACGGCGAAGTATATTCTGCCTTTTCCAAGTTGGATAAGGAAGCAAAGCGAATGGGTCTGGTGGTAAACGAGGACAAGACGAAGTATCTCCTGTCAACAAACAAACAGTCAACAGATTTGCGCCTTGGCACCCACGTCACTTTTGACAGTTATAATTTCGAGAAAGTAGAGAATTTCGTTTACTTGGGAACCAGCATTAACACCGATAATAACGTCAGCATAGAAATCCAACGCAGAATCGCTCTTGCAAACATGTGCTACTTTGAACTGAGTAGGCAATTCGGTAGTAAAGTCCTCTCTCGACGTACGAAAACCACTCTCTATAAGTCACTCATCATGCCCGTGCTGGTATAGGGCGCAGAAGCATGGCCAATGACGACATCCAATGAGGTGGCTCTTGGGAGCCAGAAAGATTTTGCGGAAGATTTACGGGCCTTTACGCGTTGGCGACGGCGAGTATGGAACGCTGAGCTGTATGAGCTTTACAACGATATAGATAGTATATAGTGCAGCGAATTAAAATACAGCGGCTCCGCTGGCTTTGGCATGTCGTTCGAATGG